TACTATTTACACCTAAAATAAAAATTCCAATGAGAGCTTACCACATGTTAACTTGGGCTAGCCATAGGTCTAAAGTGTGTCACTTCAGCAAGTCTTGGTGCTGATCTGGAGTGGGCCTGCTGCAAATTCGCAGCCTAGATGGAGGTGAATGGTGGGTTGGTGCAACATGGTAAGGGGTAAAGCAAATATCTTTAATTAATTGACTTTTATTTAGATTAGAAAGTTAAGAGGAATTTTAGGAGGACATCATGTTAATGTTAATTAGAGTTATTGAAAAGGTGAAATATAGCTAGCAGAGTTAGAATAAAAATAGGAAACTGTTGCAACCAAAACCAAGAAGAGGCCAAAAGTGCAAAAATGAAAAGTGGACCGAAAAATGTGGGAAAAACCTCCAACAGCAAGGTAAGAGCACCTCTTTCAACAAAAATCAGTTCTTCAAGCCTGCCCTTCTTAGAAAATGCCAAACATGTTGCAATTTTAATTCCAGATCAATTTAGACAACCTTCAGCATAATTTTCATATTGCAATTTAAAACCTAGTTCTTGTTCATGTTTTAGTTTGAATCTTTTGTTTTATTGAAGGTCTACCTAGTGCAAGAAATCTCCACAACTAAGCAAAATCCGCAGCATGTTTTTCCAGATAGAAGCTTTGAGACTAGATCATACTTTGTTTTCTTGGTTAGCTTTCATAGTTCTAGTTCACTTAGTTTCTACTATTAGAGATCAATTCTCATGTTTTTATTGTAATTATTGTATGTCATTAGCCTTCTTAAGTTCTTCTTATGGACTCAATTTGTGAATCTGTTAATATGAAATTTCAAATTTGATATTGTAGTTGACTTGAGTTTTATGGAGTCCGACACGGTTGGACTCCAAATTAGTTGGGACCAATGTGACTTTCAAACATCAGAGGGTTAGTATCAAAAATTGTTTTCAAGTTATGTTAATAAAATCATGTTTCTTCTTGCTTCAAAATTCCTATTTAGTTCCATCTCTTCTTTGTATTTCTATTTTCTAATTTGTAAGTAAAATAATTTCATATGGAATGTAACTTTTTTTGTATATTTGTAAATTTATTGTCAGTCTGCAAGTATGGTTCATTAGCCTGTATATCTCTTAGTTAATATATGGGTTTGTCATCCTTTAAGTCTAGTCTACATGTTAGGTATGTTTCGTAACACTTTTTAGCTCTCATGTGTCCTTTAATTGTTATGTGTTTAGTTTCCTTTTAATTGTCCACATTTTAGTTGTTGTATCTGTCTTCCTTACTAACAAACATACTTGATTAACTTTTGACATGGAAAATTCTTTATGATTTTTTAGGGCATTATTTTTAACTCATTTGTGCAAGAAAGTTTTCTTCCTTCTTGCCAATCATCTAGTCAAGGGTGCGTCTCTTTGTTAAATTAATATTCTTCCAGCCATTCAACTTGAACGTCGACTACTTGACCCTTTCTTGCTTTTGCTATAAAACAATTGGTACGCTTGAGTACATCTACCATGCGATGACCAAAAGGAAGATTTTTGGAAAAACAAATAAGGAAGATTTCTGAAAAAAAGAAATACTAAAGGAGTTTTCACCAAAATAAGATATCTTTTTATAAGTTCATTTGAAAAACACTAATCTAATTGCATAGGATGAGGCGTGTGGGAATTTTTTAAAGCATGGGTGAAACTCTTTAATTGCAAAGATGAAGTCATTCATTCATGCCCTCCTTGATCAAAGTAAATATCGATTTTGAGGACCAAAATTTTTTTTTTTTTTTGATCAGCCAAATAAATTTTTTTTTATTATTAATATAAAGTACAAAGAGTACTCTAACCCATATTTACAATACTCCCATCATCGTTATCAAAATTTCACTCACCTTTTACAAAATAAGAAACAAAATTAAACTTCACATAGAGTTGGGAACTGGCACCAATCACCGTAATTGAACATAGCAAGGACCAAATAATCATCACATGAAATTATAAACCAAAGGATTTAATATAAACCCATTGGTGTTCCTAGCACTTGATGGACGGAAACACATTATCCTTGGAAGGGTCAGTTAAGCCAAAACAAACTATATCAAAACCCTAAATATCGCTTTCTATGAGCCTTGGACAAATACATTCCATTGCAGTGCCTTGGGCAGTTCCCAACACCCTTACCCTTACCCACTCATTTCCCCAGAATTGTCACAATCGCCAAATTCCATGCCTCCCCTGTTCACCATATATCAGCCAAACACCGCAGGACCAAAGGCACGAAAGATCAAACCAGCTAGCAAAATTGGCACCAAGGAGGATGCAACGGCTGGCAAAAATTGACCAAAAAGGCAGACCTTCAACAACGAGACAGGATTCTAATAGCAACACATCCAACAAGCTCACCTCCTTTCCAACCCAACAACATCGGATGGCCAAGGAGTGGAATAGAAACACAACCTAGCATAACAGCAACAACGGAACATGACTACACTGGGCAAAACCTACCCTGTGGCTGCTGTGAGTACCAACTCAGCAAATCACCGATAGATAAACAATAGTGGTGCTTTTTTTTGTTTCTTTTTCTTTTTCAGTACACAAATCTAGCACTCCAATGGGAATACCATAGCTGTGGCCACCTACTTGAAAGGTTGTTAAAATTGTGTATCATCTGAACAATCTCACTAATTGGTGATTATGTATAATATGGAAAGTAAACCAACATCTTTTTTAATCTGTTCTATGTTTGATAAATTGAAATAATTATTCTTCAACCTTATGCATGCATTCTCTTGGTATGAGAAAAGAAAGTTGGATCATGATTCCAACAACAGAAAAGTAAAAACTCAGTAATGTTTCCCTACCTTCTTTTTGGTGCCTAAATGAGGACTAAACAGCTCAGGCCATCCCTAGGAAGCAAATCACAGAGAACAGCAAACAAGAACCGACCAATTCTGAGAGCAGGCACATCAAATACAGTCATCCCAGAAAACCAGCACCATTACATCTCTATTTCACATGCGCGAATTTGGTTAATAGGGAAGATCTTCCGGAAGCTCCCAGTTATCATCATCACTGTTGTCATTCCTCTTGGGTTTTTCTTCTTTAGCTTGTGTTGAAGCTTTTGGGTGGGGACGTCTGAAATTAGGCAAAACTAGTCAGATATAAAATAGTCATCATCATCAGAAATTCAATAATGAAAATAATGGTAAGATTGAGAAGTAAACAATGAATTGCATTTTAGGACCTCTAAGCAAAGAACATGCTTAAATGTCAAACATTTTAAGAATGAAAGTAAATGAAACTAGAATGCTAGAAAAGTAAATAATAAAAGAGATGTTCCAAGAAAATGTGGCAATTACTAGAGGGAATGTGGTTGATTGGCTGCTTTTCAGGCTGTATAAATGCTGAATGAATGCAGGTAAGCATTGAAATTGAGTGGAGATGACATATCAGATCTTGGACAAAAACAAAGAAAAATGCTCCCATTTTTTTTTTTTGGCTGAAAATAATATATTAAAATGAAAATATTTCAAATGTTAATCTCAGTATTTTAATTGCAACTCCAGAATACAAACTAAAATTCAGTCAAATGGCTGGAGAAGATGAGTATATAGTTTTGAAAACAAGTATCTAAAAATTTAGGATACATTTTTACTCATTTTTCAAGACAGCCACATACCAAGGGAAGAGACCTCAAAAGAGACTGACCAGTGACCACAGTCAGAATCAGTTTATCAAGTTCAATGTTTCAGCCGCGTTAGTATCAAAGTCTTTCAAAATCCATCTTAAGAAAATATTACTTTTCCCCCCCAGTTATGTAAGCCCTAAATTTTCTGACATCTCCAAAGAACTCTGAGATTGTAATATTGTACATTTTTTTTTCTTTGATAAGGTTAATGTTAGCCTATCAAAGACTTAGGCAGGAGTTTTGAAGGCCAACTTATCAAAATACCAATTCTCTTCCAAGTTTGTTGAAGAGAAAGTCTAAATAATCCAAGCAATTCACTTCTATGGAGACCAATCTTGACAACAACAATGCTAATTGAACCTGTACCCTTCTAAAGATTTTACACTGAAGCCAAAGGTTAATCCAATCATCATCACCATCTTCTTCTGCAACTTAACTTTCTCAAAGCTTTCTCAGTTTCTTCAACTCCAAGCCCCAATAAGTTAATTTTGTGCTCTTCCAAATTTATCCTTTTCTCACTCTTATGCATCAGCATTATCTCCAGTGCCTTCAGCAGTCAGCATCGAATGGAATCCAAGTTATTAGCATAACCAGCTTATTGAATTATCACTAGAAGCTAAATTAATTTATTACTCTAATTGTGTCCCAGTTTCAACTAAGCCAAGTTTGGTACATAATAATAATAATAATCAATTATACGGTTATCAACTGCAATTGAGTCTTCATTTGGACAGAATCTAATTGTACTGAATTATATGCATAAGTTGAACTAATGTCCCAATAGCTACATAGAGAGGAGAAAGTAATAATAGCCATCACCAAATCATTACAACTTGCTTAAATCACTTAGAACAATTTCAGCCTACTCAAAACTAACCATTAAAAAGCAGAAAACTAATTTTCGTCCATTACATTCAATTTAATAACTATTCCATTATAGAAACTAAAGTGAGATATTCAGGGATTAGGCCAATTTGGGTTCTTTCAAGGGTCATCATTGGCAAATCGTTCGTCATTTTCACTTAGAAGCACACTTCAATCTCTTCGTTTTAGCAGTTCTGTTTCCCTATTATACTTCCAAACTGCGTTCATATAAACACGTTCATGAATTTCAGTTGAAAGAAAATGATCAAATTAATTCAATTATGCAACCATCAGCAGATTCAAACAAGTGCTGTCTTCATGCTTAACAGAAATGATCAGAATTCAAATACGAATTTTTAAAATTAGCCAGAAGATTGTAATACACAGAAGCTATATGGGACAAATCTAAGATTGCAGCCTTAAAGAATGAATTTTTCTCGCACCATCTTCTCATTTGTCAATAACAAAACAGGAAAAAAGGGAAAAAAACGCACAAACCTATTTCGGTTCCTACGAGCAGCATCTCGTGATTTACGCTTCTTCTTATCCTGGGAAGACTCAAAGAACTTCCTCCTTCTGCACTCCTGAATGACACCTGACTTGAACACAGCGACCCTGAACCTGTTCATCAGCTTCTCCTCTGGCTCGTTCTCTCCTACAACGACCTCTACGTTGTAGTACCCTGACTTATAGAATAGAGTATTCGAATATGCTAGTGATGGGCACACTATGGGGGTTATCTCATCGGCCTTCATCAGAGAAGAAGAAAGAGAAGTTGATGGTAGCGTACGGTCGGAAGAAGCCAACATAGGTGGGACATACTCCGATGCTGTCTTGGGGAGGGAAAGAGATTTTGGTTGGAATTTAGAAAGTGGGTTTGGTGGTGATTGAGAGGGAAGAAAGGAGGAAATAAGATTGGAGAGAGAAGAGAGAGCCAATGTCGCCATCGCCATGGATGATGATCATGAGCTTTTGACTTCCAATGTCGGTTTATTCAAGAAGTTTCGCTTTCAGTCTTTCAGAGGTGTGTCGCAGGCTGCTAGGTTAGAATGGTTACATGACACCTCAATTTTGCCGTTGACTGTGCTGGGCACACTAAGGGCATGTTTGGGTAAAAGTCAACTGTACCAGAAAAAGAGGTTATATGAGAGTAATATATTAAAAGTTGGTAAGTTAAGTTGGTAAGTTATATAATAAAATTTTATTAGATTATAAATTTGTGTATTTAATAAAAATAAATAAATAAATAAATACTTTTTTTTAGTCTTTTACTATCAAAAAATGCTTCTTTTTCTTTTTTGTCTTTATACTAAAAAAAATCTATTTTTTAATCCTTAAAATTTAAAATATAACATTTTTTTATCGTTCTGTTAAATTTTTACTGACCTGTTACATTAATTAATGAAATAATTTGATTATCTTTTATTTTAATAATATTATAAATGACATGTGAAGATTTGAGGATAGAACGTAAGTATTTCATCTTGCCACCTGTATAAATTAAAAATTTTACTTCTTAATTAATCAATTAAATGAGTTTAAATATAATTAATTAATTGTGTTTAAACTCATTTAATTAATTAATTAAAAAATAAAATTTTTAATTTATACATGTGACCACATAAATGTTTACTTGGATTTATAATTTTATCTTTAAATTTTTATGTCATTTATAATATTATTAAAATAAAAAATAATCAAATTATTCTGTTAATTAACGTAACAGATTAGTAAAAATTTAACAAAAGGATTAAAAAGGAATCGAATTTAAAATTTTAAGGATTAAAAAAGAGATTTTTTTAATATAAAGACCAAAAAAAAGGTATTTTTTTATAGTAAATGGACCAAAAAGAATATTTAACCTAAGAAAAATTAATAGAAAGGTTGCCAAGTGAATTTTATATGGAGGAAGTTGAGAAAATTTTTTCTTTTTTAATTATAAGAATAAAAATTTACAATAAGAATAAAAATTTACAAGTTACAAATTATATAAGAAAAAGTAAATATTAATAGAAAAAAATACATATTAATCTCTACTCCTAAAAAATTGGAGTACTTGAAACTGGATATTTTATTTAAATAAAATTCAATTTAAAATTTAAAAATTTCTATTATTAAATATCAATATTTATATTTAAAAATTGATTGAATTTCTGTATTTGAATTGAGATTTTAATTTTTAAATATATATTAAGCTTGTAATTTTTTTAAGAGTCAAAGTTGATACACA